AGTCAAAGTGGTGTCAAACCAGATTATTCCTCCAGTGCAGATGCAGCCTCACAAACACCATCTCCTCATAGTTCAGAGACCCCTAAATTGTGTCATCCGTGTTTCTCTCTGAGCCACTAAAAATCAAAATCTTCTGTTTGATTCCAGAAGCTGAGTTGATGGAGGCTTGGCGCCTACATTTGGGGGCGGTGTGTGCATACCCAAATGCATTTATTACAAGGGCATTTTTTATTCACTTCCAATAAACAGTAAATAAGGAAAGAATAGTTCCTAAGACACAGAAGCTTTTTCTGCATTCTCTCCCTGTATATGTTGGCTGAGCTATTTCTGGGGCCTTGAGTAATCTGATCGCCCAAATCAAGGCCAGCCAGCTTGGAATCGACCACTTAGTCCCTTTTTAAATTTGGGACTGCACCAAATTTTCATCCTTGAAAATTATCAGGGTGAAAGGAGACTTTGGGAGGAGCAAGCTTAGAGGAAAAGTCCCTTTATTTTTTTCATACCCCTCTTATTGTGCTTATAGGCTTGCTGCCTGTTCTTGGTCATGTTATGATTCTTACTCAACAACACTGCCGCATTTTATTTTATTTAAAGGCTTTCACTACGATTGTCCCAGGAAGTCAGAACTCACGTTGGCCAAATAATGACACCGCATTAGTATTCAGAGACTCAGGTTTGGCTACATCAAGATGCTATCAATCCAAATCAGACTCTGCGGTCCAAAACATACTGCAGAAATAACCCAGTTTGAGACCGCTTTAACTGCCTTGGCTCAGTGCTAGGGAGTTCTGGGAACTGTAGTTTTGTGATAAAATTCAAAGATATAGCCGTCTTAGTCTACAGAATCAGTATGTAGTAGAGCATACTTCAGCACTTCAGCTCCCAGAATCCCATGAGCTATTGGCCAACATGGGACTATTGGCCAACATGGCTGAGGCTTCTGGGAGCTGAAGTCCCTCAGCCCTTAAAGGGGAAAGGTTGCCTATCCCTGTAGTAGAGAGATCTTGTAGCACCTTTGAGACTAAATGAAAGAAGGAAGTTGGCAGCATGAGCTTTCCTAGACTTCAGTCTACTTCCTCAGATATAGTTTTGTGAGATATTTATAGTCTTCTCTCTCAGACAGCTCTGGTCCCACAATAAACTACAATTCCCAGGATTCCCTAGCACTGAGGCAGTGCAGTTAAAGCAGTCTCAAACTGGATTATTTCTACAGTGTGTTTTGGACCATCAGGTTTAACTGATGGTTTCCCAAAGCCAAATCAGAGGAAAGGCAATACTTCTTGTCCTCACTTTGAACTGGCCATAAACACACACACACACACACACACGTGTGTGTATATATATATATATATATGAATATATATTTGCAATTTGCAAAGCAATCATCAAAATTGTGTGTGGAGGGAAAGGAACCCCCAGTTTTGATTCAGCTTTACCATTTGCTCTTTTATTTTAAAGAATGCTCAACCTTGCCAAACTAAATCATGGTAACATTAAGTTTTTATTTTATTTTCTTCTTTGTTTTGAACATCGATTTAGGACAACGGTTAACAAATTTGCTTGCCATGGTGAGAAAATGTGTCTCCGTTTGGTGCATGTGATGAATGTCAGCCCTCCTCTTGAGACTGGGGTTCGGAATGAGGTTGGGAGAGAATTCCTGGGTCCCTCCAGTTATTTGGGAATATAGCTCTCACAATAATATAGCTCTCACAATTACTGACCATTGGCCATGGGTGTGTCACAACATCTGGAGTGACCCAGATGCTAGAGGACACCCTTGGTATTCTCTAAGAAAAATATTCTCTCAATCTTTGATGTTCCTATTGGGTGCTAAATGAGATTTGACTTCAGTGCTTGATATT